CCTGATGGTCAAATGCCCAGTGACAAGACGATCGGTGGTGGCGATGACTCGTTTAACACATTTTTCAGTGAAACTGGTGCAGGAAAACATGTTCCTAGAGCTGTATTTGTCGACTTGGAGCCAACTGTAGTAGGTAAGTTCAACTTGATTGGAATTTAATTAAAAATATCTCAGAACAGMAAATTTGAATAAAAATGTTTGTTTACATGAACGCGGTGGTTGTCATGGATTTTTTTTAGTTTTTTATCTCTTTGTTTGACATTATGAAACACCTGTAACCCAAASATATTTTCTCTTATTCACCTATCCGTGATGATGTTTGTGATCAAAGAGAACTAAAATAGAACATTTTGACAGATGAGGTAAGGACTGGCACCTACCGACAGCTCTTCCACCCAGAACAGTTGATCACTGGCAAAGAAGATGCAGCCAACAACTATGCCAGAGGACATTACACTGTTGGCAAAGAGCTCATTGATCTTGTTCTTGACAGAATTCGAAAACTGGTGAGTTTTTTTTTCCTTTAATTGAGGTTCTCCATTGACAGCTTAATCACAGGTGTATAAAATTGCCATTCTAGCCTAAATTACCAATGTTTTGCTATCGCACAGGCTGACCAATGTACTGGCCTCCAAGGATTCCTTATTTTCCATTCCTTTGGTGGTGGCACGGGCTCAGGGTTCTCTGCCCTGCTTATGGAACGTCTGTCTGTTGATTATGGCAAGAAGTCTAAGCTGGAGTTCGCAATCTACCCAGCCCCACAGGTCTCCACAGCTGTTGTTGAGCCTTATAACTCCATTTTGACCACCCATACCACCTTGGAGCACTCTGACTGTGCTTTCATGGTAGATAACGAGGCTATCTATGACATTTGCCGTAGAAACCTTGACATTGAGAGACCTACCTACACCAATCTCAATCGTTTGATTGGTCAGATCGTATCATCCATTACAGCATCCCTGCGCTTTGATGGTGCCCTGAATGTGGACTTGACTGAGTTCCAGACCAACTTGGTACCCTATCCACGTATCCACTTCCCCTTGGCAACCTATGCCCCAGTCATCTCTGCTGAGAAAGCCTATCATGAGCAGTTGAGTGTAGCTGAGATCACCAATGCCTGCTTTGARCCAGCCAATCAGATGGTCAAGTGTGACCCACGTCATGGCAARTACATGGCATGTTGCCTTTTGTTTCGTGGAGATGTTGTACCTAAAGATGTAAATGCTGCCATAGCAACCATCAAGACTAAGAGGACCATCCAATTTGTTGACTGGTGTCCAACTGGCTTTAAGGTCGGCATCAACTATCAGCCACCTACAGTTGTTCCTGGAGGTGACTTGGCCAAGGTACAGCGTGCTGTCTGTATGTTGAGCAACACCACAGCCATTGCAGAGGCCTGGGCTCGTCTTGATCACAAGTTTGACTTGATGTATGCCAAGCGTGCTTTTGT